GGCTGGCGAACACGGTCCTCCACGCCGGACATTTTTAGGGCTGTTTTTTACCAACCTTCCCAGACATTGCATCTCTCAGGATTCAGCCTTCACACTTCTACTCTCTCTTTGACCCATTGATTAACTCTCAATATCTCTTCTTCCTCACAGGTTGCTGAGAAATATGGAGGAGGAGTTAGAGGAGATACAATCGAGCAGTTCCCAGGAGGAGATCACTTTGGTGTCCATTAAGGTGGGATGGTTCTATTTCAACCCTGTGTCCAAGAGGGGCCGGACCCTTCATCTGATACAGGTACGTCATACTGCTTGTGTCATGTTACCTGTGTGTCATGCTGTATAAGTGTGTGTTGTGCAGTCAAGTGTGTGTGTGTGTGTTATGGTACTTAAGTGTGTATCATGCTACCCAAGTGTATTATATGTGGGTCACGTATCAATTGCATTAACCTCCATAGGACAACCTCCCCTGTGAACCTCCCCTACAGCCCCTCCCTCGGGTATTTTCTCTCGTGGTAGATGTTGGTGCTGCCGTTCATCCCCATCGTGGCGCTCATAGCCCAGAACTGCATTGCTATGTCCAACGCCCTCAAGAACCAGGCGGCTGTCAACGCCGTCACTCTTCAGGTGAGTCCCTTCTACCTGTGTCACACTTCTCTCACCTGTGACACACTTCTTTCGCCTGTGTTACACTTCTCTCACCTGTGCTACACTTCTCTCACCTGTGTCACACTTCTCTCACCTGTGTCACACTTCTCTCACCTGTGTCACACTTCTCTCACCTGTGTTACACTTCTCTCACCTGTGTCATACTTCTCTCGCCTGTGTCATACTTCTCTCACTAGTGTCACTCTTCTCTTACCTGTGACACACTTCTCTCACCTGTGTTACACTTCTCTCACCTGTGTCACACTTCTCTCACCTGTGTCATACTTCTCTCACCTGTGTTACACTTCTCTCACCTGTGCTACACTTCTCTCACCTGTGTCATACTTCTCTCACTTGTGTCACTCTTCTCTTACCTGTGACACACTTCTCTCACCTGTGTCATACTTCTCTCGCCTGTGTCACACTTCCCTCACCTGTGTAACACTTCTCTCACCTGTGTAACACTTCTCTCACCTGTGTAACACTTCTCTCACCTGTGTAACACTTCTCTCACCTGTGTCACACTTCTCTCACCTGTGTAACACTTCTCTCACCTGTGTAACACTTCTCTCACCTGTGTCATACTTCTCTCACCTGTGTAACACTTCTCTCACCTGTGTAACACTTCTCTCACCTGTGTCATACTTCTCTCACCTGTGTAACACTTCTCTCACCTGTGTAACACTTCTCTCACCTGTGTCACACTTCTCTCACCTGTGTAACACTTCTCTCACCTGTGTAACACTTCTCTCACCTGTGTAACACTTCTCTCACCTGTGTTTCATATGTATTGTATCACCAAAAATTACACACACATAAAACATCTTTATTAGGACAGATAGACAGAATTTCACATTCATGTTCATCAGTACAACTAACTACAGTGAGTAACATACACTTGTGACACATCTACGTCAGTATAGGTGGTAACACGTCAGTATAGGTGGTAACACGTCAGTATAGGTGGTAACACGTCAGTATAGGTGGTAACACGTCAGTATAGGTGGTAACACGTCAGTAAAGGTGGTAACACGTCAGTATAGGTGGTAACACGTCAGTATAGGTGGTAACACGTCAGTAAAGATGGTAACATGTCAGTATAGGTGGTAACACGTCAGTAAAGGTGGTAACACGTCAGTATAGGTGGTAACACGTCAGTATAGGTGGTAACACGTCAGTATAGGTGGTAACACGTCAGTATAGGTGGTAACACGTCAGTATGTCTTGTATGTGTGTTGGCAGGTGCAGGACGCGGTCGAGATAGGTAAGCTGTTAAGAGCATTACAACTGGAGAGAACAGAACTTGGCTACTACATCCTCTCTAACGCCTCCAGCACCCTCAGGTTAGTCATTACATGGTAGTCATCACTCAGTCATAGTCGTCATTTATCGGTCATCATTCACTAGTCAGTCATTGTTCACTAGTCAGTCATCATTCACTAGTCAGTCATCATTCACTAGTCAGTCATCATTCACTAGTCAGGCATCATTCACTAGTCAGTCATCATTCACTAGTCAGTCATCACTCACCTATCAGCCATCAGTCATCACTCATTAGTCTAATTTCGTTACAATGGAGATGTGGAGCAGGTGTAGTTGTACCGAGTGTTGACCAAGGCGTGAAAGAGGCGCTGTAGGTATTGTGATGCCAACTAACAGCAGTGGTACAATGATCAACATGGTACCAACTAACAGCAATGGTACAATGACCAACATGGTACCAACTAACAGCAGTGGTACAATGATCAACATGGTACCAACTAACAGCAGTGGTACAATGATCAACATGGTACCAACTAACAGCAATGGTACAATGATCAACATGGTACCAACTCACAGCAGTGGTACAATGATCAACATGGTACCAACTCACAGCAGTGGTACAATGATCAACATGGTACCAACTAACAGCAGTGGTACAATGATCAACATGGTACCAACTCACAGCAGTGGTACAATGATCAACATGGTACCAACTAACAGCAGTGGTACAATGATCTACATGGTACCAACTCACAGCATTACTCCACAGAATGAACATCACTACAGTGTACGAGCAGACCAACACGATCATCGAGAACATGAGGAACTGGCCAGAGTTAAACGAGGGTGATAAACAGGGCGGCAAAATGTTCCAATCAAGTGTGAGGTTCCAGATACGACTTCAGGACTTTAGGTCAGTGTGGTGGGTAAAGATCCCCTGAAGATTCACCACCTAGTTTATTTCACCTTAAGATTAACCTAACCTAACCTAACCTAACCTAACCTAACCTAATCTAATCTAATCATAGAACTAATATTAATGGCAACAATACTCGGGCAGCGTGACTCAGGCCAGCAAGGATAGAGTGTTGTGTGTCACGCAGGGAGAGATAAGCCGCCTCCCACTGGTCACATATAATAAGTATGGACGGTTGTAATTGGATACTTGATCCTCTTATACAGCCAATCAGTGGCCGAGGACATGTAACTCCTCACGTTGATTATTGAGTTCGTACAGGTGTGTGTGTGTGTGTGTGTGTAATAGTTTTAACCTCTAGATTTAATTTAACACTATATGGTCACTGGTTATTATTCATATTGCCATACAAGAGGTAGTTACACTAATATGTCAAAAATGTCCATAGCGAAAATCATCATAATCCACACTCACATTATGTTGTGCTGTACACTAGATTTTTCTTGTTAAGTTTGATCTTCGTGGGTCTAGTGTCAGTACAGGAGACCATTGAGTATCTACGGGAAACCTGTGATGTTCAGTAGAGTCACGTAGAGTCATGCACGTAGAGTCACCCTTCACAACACTTCTCACATTTCCATTCTAGGGTCGAAACCAATTTGCAGAGTTGAGAGACAATTCTTACTAACACATTCCCATCTTACTCCAGCTAATCTCAGAATGATCCACAACAGCCCCTTATCTACCTGCAAAAATTTTCATCCTTTCAATCTTCTTATTAATATCCTCACATTCCAAGTTCCAGTGTTGAGTTTGCTACCTTTTTATTGTTAAGTTTTTCAGTTTTGTTTTGTTTTTGTCCAAGAATTTGTTTTACTCAGACAATACTTGCCAGCTCTAGGGGGGGCGGGGGATGTTTGGAGAACCTTTATTTGACGCTGATCCAACACGAGCACCTGAAACCAGATTGTAATGTTTATCCTCTGTTGCTTTAAGGCATGAATAGAAAATCTGAGTTAAGAAGCCCAACACCTTTCCTCATCAGAGAAGTATGAGGAAACGGGGAACAGAAAGTTATGGATAGATTACTGGAGAGAGGAGTTGGTGGTACAGTACTTCCTTCTTTACTGGAACATAGTGCCTCTGGAGTTTCAATTTATGGTACTTTAGAGTTAATTAAAGGCGTTTTTTTTATATACTAGCAAGATTTTACTTAGAATATTGCAATACTCTACCTTTGTTGACCATGTGAACGTATTGTAGTAAATGGTGACTGATGTATGACACTCTGGCAGGGACTCCATTGACCCCCTGGAGTCACACGTCACCAAGGTAGTGTCCTGGTACAACGACGTCAACTGCTTCCTCTTGAGTGTCCTGATCTCCACCATCAACACCGCAGACGCTTCAAGTATATGGCAGTGAGTAAAACTAGCCTCTCTCTCTCTCTCTCTCTCTCTCTCTCTTCTCTCATCCACCCACCCACCCATCCATACCCACCCATCCCCACCCACCCACAATCCCACCCACCCACCCCACCCATCCCATCCACCACCCACCACCCCCACCATCCACCACATCCACCCACTCACCCCACCCACCACCACACACACACACACACACCCACACACACACACACACACACACTACTAATTCCAGCTATATCACCATATAACTGTTGCAATTCATTGTAGTAACTAATGATCCTTGATAAAAAAAAAAAAAAAATATATATATATATATATATATATATATATATATATATATATATATATATATATATATATATATATATATATATATATATATATATATATATATATATATATATATATATATATATATATATATATTTATTATATTTTTTAATCCCAACTCACTGTATTATGTTGTAATCTTTGTATAGTGATCCTTGTTACATACCGAGACTTGTAATGACACCTGCCTTACCACACCTGTAAAGCAGATTTTCACAACAGTTTAACTGATATTCTTCTTTTAATCAAATACACAATATTTTCCTCTCTTTTTTCATTCTTTAGAGATTTTTTGTATTTTTACTCTTTGAAGATTGTATTTAAATTTTATGTTTACTTGCATTTTTTACATTTATTTAATAATAATAATAATAATAATAATAATAATAATAATAATAATAATAATATCTTCTTTATGTATCATGAAAGGAGATTCTACAGTAGTTACTTACACCGGCAGGAAGCTTGTTGCCTACCAGAACGTGATGCAATGTGAGGAACAGTTCGGGGTCGCTCTGGTGTACGGGACGGCCTACTACCTGAGGGGCAGCCTGGACAGTGAGGGTTACCTCGCCTGGGTGGAGGCCAACGCCCTGGCCGGCTACTGGCTCGAGCAGACCCTCACCCTCTCCCCGAACATTGAGCGTCGCCTCAGTAATAAAGGTTTCCTCACTGACCTGGCCAAGAGAATTTCCGACAGGTTTGTGTCTGTCTGTTCATTCGTTTATGTATGTGTGTATATCACTGTAGTGTTACGCCCAGTGCCACCCACGCCCACATTTACCTACCCGTACACCGATGCCCGTGACCACCCACCAAGCAGGAATGCTCTTGTTATGCATATCTTTATTGGTTCACCACTGTTAAAAACATTGTACATTTGATCCCGTGTTAACTCCACCTGGAGATGCCACTTTCTTTACATACACACAACTCATCTGTCCCACGCATTTTATCAACAAGTACATGTGTCTCTTATACCATTATTTTAAAACCCATTTTATATGTAATAATAATCATCCTCTATTCAAGTATTTAACTGACTTCTTGCTGAAAATACAGTTTTATTCTGTCTCCTTTGAGAAAGTTGCTTCGTCGATGTTCCTCTTTAAGAAACGGAAGCGACATCTGGCCTGGAGGAAGACCTCACTTCTCTTGACCTTCCAGAAAAGATATCATCGGCAACATGAAGCGAGAGGGATCGGTGACCATGGCCGACATCTATATGCAAGACAGCGTCGCCTTCGTCGACTCCATCAGAGAAGTAGAGGATTCACTCGTCAGCGATATTAGGTATATTTTGTTACCGTAGCTGAGTACTTTTCTGCCATACACCATTACTGTAACTGAGTACTTTATTTCCAGACGCTATTACAATTAACTGAGTACTTTACAGTCAAGCCCTCTAAGACAAATAATAATTAATCAACGACATACATAAATAAGGTGTTGTTAACAGGGAAGCCATCAATGGGGAGCTGGAGATGGCTGACCGACAGTACACGCTGGCGCTGGTCGTCCTCCTGTTGGTGTTGCTCATCTCTCCCATCATCATCATGCTGGTCAGGAAAGCCACCAGCCTCATACACGTGAGTCAACAACGAGAAGGTGAGACTGTCTGGACGCGTGTAAGTGTAAGGGAGTATGGAGTATGGAAGGGGTATTACCACGGTGAGGGAGTGTGGGTGGGGTAATATGTAAGTATGATGGAGTATAGGAAAGGTAGTATATGTGGGTAAGGGAGTGGAGGAGTGTAGATGGGAGAGTGAGTATGTGGAGATGTGGCTATGATGGTGTGAGAAAAAAAGGGAAATGTGTATGGCAGTTGTGGCAGCCTGGGTGTAGGAGAGTGTGTGTGTACAGGTGAAGATGATGAACATATGGGAGTAACAAGGTGTAGAAAAGGATATGTGTAATGGGGGGCCAGGGGAGTGTGTGTTCGGGGTGACAGTTGAACAATCTAACCACGAGAAGAAACAAAATCCTTTCAACATCTGTATTTGTTATTGTGTTTGGAAGTCTCAGATTACAGCAATTATGAGGAAATGTTGAAGTGTTAATTGTGCTTAGGGTCACTGTTTCGCGCCCAGGACACCCCCCAGTTCTCCCAATTATGAGTACCTATGTTTACAGTGGGGGAAATGATGGCGGTTCAGTGCAATCTTAGCCACACTGCCTTCTTTTGTACCGAAAAAAGAAGAAGAAACTACTACTAGGCCTATTGGATAAACTTTTATATTTTTTCCAGGAGTATGCCTACAATTTACTAATTAAATCCTCCGAAGTGAAGAAAGAGAAACGAAAAAGTGACAACCTTCTGTATCAGTTATTGCCACGCACTGTCGCCCACTACCTGAAGCAGTCTAAGCAGGTGGGTCTCTACTACCTCACTGAGCATGATTACATACCACTTGTTTTATGGGATTTAACCTAACCTAACATAAACTACCTTATGGCCAAGATGACACCTCCCCTTCCCCTCCCATACAGGTGCCAGCTGAATTCTTTGAGTGTGTAACCATCTACCTCAGTGATATTGTTGGCTTCACACGTATCTCATCGGAGAGTAGTCCATTACAGGTGAGTTAAATGTGCGTGCGTGCGTGCGTGTGTGTGTGTGCGTGCGTGTGTGTGTGTGTGTGTGTGTGTGTGTGTGTGTGTGTGTGTGTGTGTGTGTGTGTGTGTGTGTTTTATATCTCTTAACTTTCAATAACCACCAGTTTAAAGTTCAAGTGTCACAATGCATCAAGGAGTAGAGAGTTCAGTTCATTTGTCTGCTATAAAATCCTTCTGTCTTAGGTTAAGTGAGAACAACTTCCGTGAGACCACCGGGCGATGGTCAGGAGAGACACTTGAGTTAATAAAGTAAACTATATTAGACCAAGTGAACATAGTATGGTTTAAGATAGACAACCACACCATACCACACCACACCATACCACGCCACACCATACCACACCACACCACACCACACCACACCAGTTCAAAAAAATATTCAATAGTATACTCTTGTTACATTAAACTATGACTGGTATATGGAGCTGAGACCATTGTCGCTTGATGCGGAGTACAGTTGTTCTTATTACATTTCCTTTATTAACTGTTAAGTAATTTAGGAGGCAGGTGATGATGCAGGTTGTTCTACAGGTGGTGACGCTTCTCAATACACTCTACAAGCAGTTTGACGCCAGCATCGAGAAGTATGACGTTTACAAGATGGAGACAATTGGTGATGCTTACATGGTGGTCTCTGGACTACCCAATAGGAATGGTCAGATATTTTCATCTCTCTCTCTCTCTCTCTCTCTCTCTGCTGCATTACTGACTCATCTCTTAATACATCTCGCACGATCTTTCACTATGCACCAGTAGCCTCTATTTCTTGTTTATCATGGACCAATAGTTCCTCTCCCGGGGTTTTTATGCATCAATATTCCTTCCTGTGACCTTGAGCGCAGCAGTAGTCCCTCCCTCTAGCCTAAACTGTATCTGAATTCCTTCCTCTGGCCTACCATGCTCCAGGACTATTCCTCCCAACACTATAATGCACCAGCAGCCCCTGTTCATACCCTACCATGCACAAATAGCCTCTGTCTATAGCCTACCATACACCAGTAGTCCCTGTCCATAGCCGAGCATGATATACTTGCACCCATCCCTTCACCCCGACCCCTACCATGCACCATTGCCACCACCCCCCCACCATCAATGCCACCCTCCCCTGGGCACTGTAAACTCTAAGACCACTCACCCTAACCCTTACAGGAGAGCGTCATGCCTCGGAGATCGCAGATATGGCCCTCACGCTCCTGGAGTTGGTGTCGCAGTTTGAAATCGGACACAAGAAGGGTGAGCTGCTGAAGGTTCGCATTGGCATCCACTCCGGCACTTGCGTCGCTGGTCAGTGTTCCTCCCCCTCCTGCTTCTACACCTACTTACCGAAGAAATTAGTTAAGCAGTTAATGAGAGAGTCAGTGGATTTAGGTCTTGACTTCATTTCATAACACATCTGACTCTCCTCAAAATGACATACGCTAGGCTCAACTTTCAATGCTTCAAATCACCATTAATAATTTAGCCTAGTACTACTAATGCTTGAAGTCAACGTAAATCATATCCTAACACTATACCTTCAAATCACCAGGATATATTACCTCAACACCATAAAATTATAGTGACTTACATCTCGTGCATGACCTAACACTATCAGCAGGAGTTACCATTAACACGATCATCATATCTACTGTAGGTGTTGTGGGTATCATGATGCCTCGGTACTGTATGTTTGGCAAGACCGTCACCACAGCACACTTCATGGAGAGCTCCGGGGAACGTGAGTATTTATACCTTTCCTTATTATAACTTATTTACTCGTGTATATTATTCTTATTACTTTTTAACTTGTTTATTTTGATTTACCTTGACTTTAGACATCATCAATCAAGCGATACTAGTGGGCTGACTACGTTGAAATTTTGTTGAAATTTAATGAATCGAATGTTGTTAAGTCCACTAGTACATATTGACCCCATGTGTGGATCCTGTGTTATCGTACACACTCACTCTTCAACCCAGCTTGTTGTTCTGTTGTCTACCATCCAAATTTTTCTTCACACTGTCTTTTGCCACCCATTTTGTCATTCACACTGTCTCCTATCAGTTTGCCTTAGTGCTCTCTCTCTCTCTCTCTCTCTCTCTCTCTCTCTCTCTCTCTCTCTCTCTCTCTCTCTAATCAAAAACACCTGAAGCTTCACATTCATCTGTAATCCATGATGCCCTTATTGTAGCTGCCTGGAGCCCTGAACAACTATAAGTCCCAGTTACGATATGCCAATGTGAAGTGGGGTCTAGTTCTATTAGGCTTCAGTACTTATGATAAAGTTAAGTTGGGAAATATTAGAGCTGGGGTCTAATAGTACGAAGAGCCATTTATCCTGGAGGTATTATAGAATCCTTGGTTACAGTATGGATGGTTCCTCCCGCTGCCTACTGGTGTGGTCCTCTCCCTCCTCCACATCACTCCTTGTTTGCTCCTGTCTTCCTCTCCCCCCCTCCGCCCCCCGCCGCTGGTGTGGTCCGTCCTTCCTCCATCTCCTTCATCGTCGAATTTTCAGCTCATACGGTCACACCTCCGCCCACAGCTATGAAGATTCACGTAAGCGAGACGACGCAGAAGATTCTAGCAACGACGGGTCGCTACCGCCTGCCGTTCCACCGTCGCCTGCAGGTGGTGAGCAAGTACAGAGTCAACACCGTCGAGGTCAGTCATCCTTTTGGCTAATTCCTGTGTGTTAACTCTCCCAGGTAGTTGTGTTTTTAGAAGGGATTATTTTCATATCTCTCTCTCTCTAGCTGTGTGTCACCAGATGGTACAGGAAATGAGTAATCATATGATCCTTAATTTATTACTTGACTGAGTGGATTATCATGTGTTATATGTAGTGATGATGGATGGTGTTATATGTAGTGATGATGGTTGATGTTATATGTAGTGATGATGAGTGGTGTTATATGTAGTGATGATTAGACAATAAAATAATAACAGTTTAATGCTAAACAAATATAGTTTGCTGTACCGTTGTAGTGAAAAACATGGTGGAACTTACATACACCGTTAATGAACTATTGATGGAAGAAGTTTTGGGGACTGAATAGTGAGACGATGTGGAGCCTCCCGCAGAGTGGCGTCCTACCGTTGCCTAGCGAATGAGCCGCCCGGAGGGCAGCGAATCTGCTAGTATATATATATAGTTAAGTTATAAATGCAAGAAAGTGGTTTTCTTACCGTAGAACTCAGATACCCTCACACTGGTTACTCACCCAGGAGATTATGGTGTATCACTACGTAGAATTTCACTCTGCTTCCGGCATTCAATGCGTTGTGTACTTGATAAATGATGATTTAATGAATTCCATTAACTTCCAACATCCATCTAAGTTATTGGTTATACTTGTCATAACCAATCAGTCATTACCTTTGATAATAATAATAATAGAGGGGTCACAGATACGGGCAGATAATTGCACTTACGTTTATTTGGCACAATTCCATACACTGGACTTATAATTTGCATGGATAGGTCAGTCACTCACATTCACGCCACAGTACCGTAAGTTATAAGGGAGAGTTTGCCAACTTGGAGAATTAATCGTTTAGATCTATTAGGCCGGCCTGGAGTGCTCTTGTAGCAAACAGGTCCTCACCATTGATCACTTCCTTTACAGGGTGTGTTAACTTGTCGCTGGACTTAACAAAAATCTCGGGGATTTGCACACACAGACTCGTAGCACTGGTAGGACTGTATGGCCCCTGTTCTAAATCCGCGGAGCAGGAGGTCTTATATTACCCAAGGTCTAAAGCCTACTGGCTAAAATGTGGTTTTGAGGCGTGAGATGACCCCTACCTTATCTCTACCTAAACAAACATTTGGGATGGGTTGTGCGGGAGGCCCAGCGCAACCCATGACATATATATCTATATATATATATATATATATATATATATATATATATATATATATATATATATATATATATATATATCATGTAGATCCACTGAAAATGGAAAAGATAGTCTTGATAAATCACAAAAGGTAAAAGTTGAAGATGTCTTGAATAAAACGAAAGCTAAGGTGCCGTTGTTTCCTTTTCCGTGTGATTTTATCATATATATATATATATATATATATATATATATATATATATATATATATATATATATATATATATATATATATATATATATATATGTGTGTGTGTGTGTGCGTGTACCGTTGTCTCAGTAGGGTTGCCCAAATCCTTCGTTTGTTTGTCATATTGTCTCACAAAATCGTAAAGATATTTTTTGGAGCGAGTGCCTAGAGAGTGCAGGTAGACAAACAAGGTCAGTGTCCAGCAGGAGTAAAGAGTCTTGCTGTATTGTGGCAGGAGACGGAGCTGGACACCTACTGGCTGGAGGGCCGCATCAACCCCCACCAGCCTCGCCACCGTGATGCCAAGAACGAGGACGCCACTCCAGCCTTCCTTGCCTACGTCAATGAGGGCAGCACACTAAACCAGCGCCACAGAACCTCCTCCAAGCTATAGATCTGCCGTCACCGTTCCTCCGTCACTGTAACCGTGTGGTGAAGACTTGTAACTTATGTGTTACCTTCACTGTTATATTTGTAACTCTTGTAACTTGCCCTGTAGTCTCAGCTGACCAGTTAAATCAATTATTTGTAACATCTGTTTGTACATGTTCAGATTATTTGATGTCCACACAAACACTATTTACTTCTTATATCTATTAAACAAAATATATGGCCACAGTATGTTGGTATGATTAATTAACAGACAATGGGCAACTTTCCTTTTACGAGAGAATGTAGTAGTTTATTCGGAGAGCTCCTTTAATGACACACCAGGGCTTATAAACAGGTAGATGGAGCGGGGACGATATTTACTATCTGACCTGAAATGATGACCATTAGTTCATTACCCTTTACCTAATTAATTCGGGTGATGATGATTATATCATATAAATATGTATTTAGCTCACATTTATATAATAAGTACTGTCTATATGTTGACACAGGCTAATACACCGTTAACACACTCTTCTCACCACCACACTCTTCTCACCACCACACTCCTATCACCACCACACACCTCCGCACCACACCTCTCTCGCCCCCCCCCCCTACACACACACACACAGTTCAAGTAGGATGAAAATTACATAATTTGAGTTGTTTTACTATTAAGCGCGTCCAGGGCCGGATTTACCAATAGGCCAAGTAGGCCATTGGCCTAGGACCCACCGGTATCTGGGGCCCCACTGAAACTAATTTGTTGAGCAGCGTGCCAGCGTATAACCTTGTTTCAAGTGTACACCGAGTATTTCATTATATAATATATTCACAACCATAAGGGCCCCTGTACAATAAGTATAGGCCCGCAGAGGTCTTCAACTGGTGGGCCATGGGGTGGTTCTAAGGTGGGCCACGGACTAGGCCCTATAGTAAAATGAAGAAAATGAGATAAAATAAGATAATAAAAAAATATATATATATACATTTTTTAAATGTCCGTGTCCCACCATCGATCTATCTATCAATCTATTTATCTATCTATCTATACATACATATATATACGAGAGAGAGAGAGAGAGAGAGAATAAAGTTCAAGAAACCTTCAGCGCCTTGATGTGTGAAGGACAGGATCGTTTCACGTTCAGTACGTGTCAGGGTTACCGTTGGTTTGTTGACAGCTCGCTCAGCCAGTCAGTAATTCTCAGCCTCAGCTCAGAGTGAATGCCTACTCAGAAATAAAGAAGCTGTTAAGCTTCTTAACGGAGTATGACAGTCTGAAATATGATGATCTCAAAGCCCAACTGGAATTCGTTGTCAGTACCTATTCCAGTGACCTGGAAGCATCTGTTCTAGATGAGTTTTTGCAATTTAAAGACATTTTGTCTTCTGAATCTGACAGGTCAGTGACAAACATCTCCACTTTGCTGAGGTCCAAAGATGGTAGTTTGACAACTGCCTTTCCAAACATAAGTATCTTCGGAAGAATTGTCCTTACCATCCCCATTACAATTTCTGAAGGAGAGGCGTCTTTCTCTACTCTATCTAGGGTGAAAAATCACCTGAGGTCTACCAAGGGACAAACCAGATTAAACTCACTTTCATTATTATGCATTAAATCTGGCCTCCTACAATCCCTTGACACACACAGTATCATTGACAAATTTTCCATGAAAAAAAGTAGGAAGAATTTAGTTTGAAATTCACACAGTTTGCTGTACTTCATGTGCTTGGAAAATTGATTATGCTTCAAGTAAATTGTATTTCTTTCATTATTCCCATATATAAGGTGTACATGATATAGAACTAATTTGATTAAAAGGAATGATGTGTCACATTGTGTTGAAATTATTATTTCTTACATTATAATATTATGATATGTAATATTTGATGACATTTGGCCATTAAAAATAATTGCATTAAAAAAAAAAAAAAATATATATATATATATATATATATATATATATATATATATATATATATATATATATATATATATATATATATATAATATATATATATATATATATATATATATATATATATATATATATATATATATATATATATATATATATATATATATATATATATATATATATATATATATATATATTTAATTACTTTTGCAAGTATTTGAATAGTTAGACAGATATCACTTGTTAACAGAATTCTTAGCATAATCAGGAGAACCTATACTGAGATTTTGAACAAAATCTATTTTGGTTCAAAATTTCAGTATAGGTAATCCTGAATGAGTTTAAGGATCTGTTAACCAAAATTTGATATCTTGATTATAACTTGTTCAAATGGCTTTAGAAAATGTTCAAATGATTTTAGAATATTTTAATTACTTTGCAATGCTAATTACTCGCCACTTATGGGTTTCGAGGTCATTTCTTGGTGCTTGTGTATTATTCTGGATGTACTTAAATAGTTAGGCACATTAAATTTTAGTTCAGAGAGAAAAAGTATTTTTGGCCAAAAATCCTTTAAGGCATAAGACTTACAATTTTT